CCACACACACACACACACAACACTCCTCAGATCCAGCCCTGATGACCCTGGTCTATTAAAAGACTGTTACCGATTTTGAGAAAAAGAAAATAAATGAGCAAAGGGATGAAATGAAATCACCTTCATCCCCTCACCAGGGACAACTGGTGCTGAGGTATGTCACAGCTTACGTACATCTTGTAACTGGGTTTAGTCTACCTTTATTTTGTTGTTCAAATCATCTTCTGTTACCATATATTTGGCTCCCTTTACTCAGTTCACTTTCCGATGTCAAACTTCCCGTTGTTATTCTGTTGAGAACTTGGTAGCTATATTTGCTGATGCATCCTTTCCTGCTTCCTTAGGGAGCGTTCCTCGAAATAGACTCCATGGCACAATCCCTCTGCATCAGGGCCCCCTCACACTTTCGGCCAAGCTGCCCTCTAAGTCACCAGGGCTCCGAAGGCGGCCGGTTCTCCCCCTCTCCCACCCTCCTGCTGGGCACGAGGTGTAAAGAGGCTTGTCTCTGCCTCCTGGGACGGTGGCCTCTTCCCAGGTAGGATGACTGCTGGGCCCAGAGCCCCTCTCCATGTGTCCGACAGAGAAGCAGAGTCCAGTCCCCTCACCCCAAGGACTGAGGTCCCACCTCCAGCTCCTCCCACATCCATGCTTCCTCCCCAGCTCAGGCTGGTTCATGGTCAGCCAGCAGCCAGAGATGCCCACCTCCACCAGGGCCACCCAAGCCGGGCACTCAGTGCTCTCTGCATATGAACACCCAGCCTGGGGGTGGCGGGCAAGAGGGAGCAAAGGCGAAGACAGACCACAGCTGCTGGCTGAGCCCTGGGAGGTGGCCAGTTATCCAGCTGACCCGCCCCTCCAGGTACCCAGCCATGTGCCGGGCAAGGGGGTGTGGACATGGAGCAGCCCAGCTTCCAGGCTGCCTGCCCTGGGCCTGGGTCTCCCTCCGTAGCAGAGCACTTGCCTCTTGTCTCCTCAGCTCACCACACCCCAGGCCTGTGTCACCAAAAGTTGTCCATTGATCCAAGCTTAAAATAACCCCTGGCATCTGCAGTGAGCCCCACAGGGCGGGCAGGAGACTGTGTCTCTGAGCCTGAAGGGCACCTGCCCCACCCCCCAGCTGCCGCTTGCGTGTGCGGGAGTCTGCGTGCGCATGAAATTGAGTGAGTGTGCCTGTCTGGGGCTGGTGTGACTACAGTTGCCTTCCCTGCACCAGGCACATGTACACGTGTGTGTCAGCGTGGATGCACCTGCGAAAACATGTTCTTTCCTCGCTGCTGAGCCCTCCCTCAGTGCCCAGCGGTGGCTCAGGGAAAGCCTTGCTGGCCCTCAATGTCCCCACTTTAGATGGGGGTGGCCCCTCTGCCAGCCCTGGGCCAGGGGGTTTGGTGTTTCCTAGAGAGAAACCCGAGACCCAGGGAGGGGAAGCGGCTGCTGTGACCCAACAGAGCCAGGGAGGGGGGGGGGTCTGGCCTGGAACCTGCACGGTGAGCCCCCAGCCTGCTTCTGGCCAGTTCAGTGGGAGCAGAGGGAGAAGCTGGGGGACCCCGGCCCAAGCACGTTCTTACACCCTGACCGCAAGCCCACACCTGACCAAACCTCTGACCCATGCCCGAGGCACCCCGGCTCCTGCGAGCCAACTCCATTTTGGAGCCAGAATAACATCCATTGCAACTTCTGCTTGAATAGAGCCGTGCGACCTGTCTAGGCCTCAGTTTTCCCATCGGCAAGATGGGCTGCTCACACCTCCTGGGCAGGGTCCAGGGAGAAGCCAGCGGGTCGGTGACTGAGAAGCACGCAGATACAGGCGGCAGATACAGGCGGCCGGTGGGGCCCCCCGCTGGGCTGGGCAGCTGGTGACTGCCACCCAGGGGCCATCGCGGTCTCAAAGCCTCGCTCCCGCCCGCTTGGCTGCTATTTCCTGGCTGGTGGGGGCGGGGGTTGCAGGCAGAGGCCCTGGGCT